CTGGTGCTCAACTGCGTGGGCCCGGTGAGTGGCGGCGACGGGCAAGCCCCGCAGCCCGGGGACGCAGCGAGGCATCCGCGCGGGGCCTGTTATTAACCAATACGTTTATTTATGTACTTACTGATAAGCCTAGCCACAAATGCATGCTAGAATTGCGCGAAGCTTTCTTGTGGCATCCTCTGGTTTTGTGGTTCCAATTCGAAAAACAAGGTTTTTGGCCTAAGTGATTTGAAGTCAGGTTGAGAATAGAGCTGAATGCCACCCCCTGCCCATAGATTGGGTGCTTTAAGTTCCTTTAAAACTTTTGGTGGCAAAATTTGCTGTTCATTCAGAGAGGGGCGAAGTACAAGAGTTGTAGCCACGTCATGTCCCCTTTTCTGTCACCTACCCTGGAATGAGAGTAGTTAAGCTGGGGCTGTGGAGCTGATACTAATGCAAAACCCATGGATCAAGATAAGGTGTAGCAAATTGTCCTGGGTGATCTTCTGGGGAAAGTGTGGCTGACTGCTTAATGTATTAAACTCGGTTGCTAGTGATGAAGAACCTTATGCTGTTCCTCCTCTCCTGCTCCCCCCGAAAGAGAAATATTGTTATATTTGCCCCATTTAGAAGGTTGTAGATCTTAGATGTTTGCTGTTATCGTTGGTCTGCTGGATAAAAACAAATCAGATGGATTGCGTGTGGGTTTTTTTTTTTTTTTATGTGTGTGGTTTTTTTCCCCTCTGCAGTATAGATTTTTTGGCGAACCTGTGGTAAAAGCTTGTGTTGAAAATGGTGCAAGCTGCATTGACATCAGTGGAGAACCTCAGGTATGTGACAACAGAAAAATCCTACCTTCTGCTAAGGATCTAGTAAAGGAGTATTTGTTCAGTATGTTTCATAGTTTTGCTCATGTTTTTGAACATGAAGACAAATTATCTTCTGATTTGCAATTTTGTTACATTAATTTTAATATGTATTATTTGCAATATGTATTATTTGTATAGTTTATTACATTTAGACAAGAGTTACGCAGAAACCCTCTAGAAATCAAGAGCTTAGCAACTATATTGTCAGTTTTGGTTGAGATTTCACATAGGAGTTTGTATAGGTCACAATTTTTGGCACCGTTTGCATTTCCATACCATAAAGTAGGAGTAATGTGTTTCTGCCTTAAGGATCTTTGTTTGAAGCACTCAGAGTACTGTGATAAAGTGAAGTGCTGATGGTTAATATTGAGTATTGCCAAATATGAGGTTTTGCTTAAAGTATTTGCTGTGTTTATCTTTTAGTTTCTGGAAGGAATGTACCTGAAGTACAACGAAAAGGCTGCAGAGAAGGGAGTCTATATCATTGGAAGTTGTGGCTTTGACTCTATACCAGCAGATATGGGAGTACTCTTCACCAGAGACAATTTGAAAGGTGACTTATTTAAGTGTGTCCTTAGGCTGAAAAAGAACCATAGATTAGTTTTCATCTGGTTTTCTAAAGCAATAAAGCCTGGAACTCCTTCTGTCTCTTTCTCTGCCTCCCTTTACCAGCTAAGCAGGTGCAGGCAGACCTGACTCGTGAAAATTTAAAAGCGTTGCTCTTGGATTTGAGGAAAGTGATGATTAGGATAATCAAAGCAACGCCACTCGCTGAAGGGACAGAGCAAGAACGCGTTGGGCTCTGGCACGCTGCCTCCTGTGTGGGGAGAGTTTTGTAAGGAAGAGGTGACAGAGATAGGAAGGCTACAGGAAAGGGAGCGCAATTTAGTGCGTAATTGCGTTTCATAAGTTGTCTTCTTGTGCAGCCAGCACTAAGAAGGTGGTGCAGAAGCATAAGTAGATGGATAGTGCTGTATAATGCCTTTTTTTTCTGAACAGTGTGTGAAAGAGGAGGAATATATTTAAAAATAGATGTGATATGACTGAATTCTGTGCAAATAGTACTTGATCCTTATTCCACATGTTGTTTAGATACTTTATTCAGTAGCAGCGTACGCAGAGTCTAGATCCCACTGCTCCTACTCTTTTCTTTTCCATTGGAAGGACTAGTAAGAGTATCCAAGCATATGACTTTGCATAGATGTACTATTAAAATTGCTGTAGGATTGTAGGATTGCTTTACATTGTAGTGTATCAATTTTCAGTTTATTTAAAAATTATAAGAAAAGGAGAGGAGGGAGAAGGAGTGGCAAGGAAATAATTATATGATTGTTTGTGGGTTTTATAATTTGATGTGTGATACATTTTTTGAGTAAAGATGCCTTCTTTCTTGACTTTCTAGTATTTTGACTTTCTGTTATCACTTTTCTGTCCGGTTTGTTCTTACATTTAACTTTGCTCTTACAGGAACAGTTCTTTAATCTCAGAAGGAACCAAGCAAAGCAAAACCAAGCAGAATTTGGAGGAGTTTTGTTAATTATCTCATTAACTAGATTAAAAAAATACAACATTTAATGAGTAAAGATAATGATCCCTATTTAAAAGGGACTTTGCTTATGAAATTCGATAATTAAAATAGTTGTGGAGCTTTATTTTAGTTTATTTTACTTGAAGATAAAGATTTGATTCTGCCTCTTCCACTAGTGATGTCAGTGCTCTGACAGATGAGTCTTTCAGAGTGCATGATCTGGCAGGCTGTGTGTCAGCAACTATAATATTTTCTCTTCTATTAAAGGTACCTTAACAGCTGTGGAAAGTTTTTTGACAGTGAAATCTGGACCTGAGGTTGGTTGCTTTACGCTGTCTTAGAAACTCAGGAATATTTGTGATAACACATGCATAGCCCCTTTGAAGAACTGTTGTTATGTTAATTCAGATCAAGCAACAAACTGGCAGCTCTTTGATAAGTCTGAGGGTTTATATATATATATATATATAAATGTTTATATATATAAATATCCCAAGCAACTACCTGTTTGTAAGGCTCTTCACTATATATTGCCAAGATATGTGTGAAGGATCCATGTACACCTAAGCTGTAGCATAGGCAGGAAGTATTGTCCATAATCCCAGTGTCTGGCTGTTCTTTTTCTTTGCTGAATTGTTTTTCTTTGTATACAGTTGGTAGTGCATAAAACTGTTGTATAAGAAATTATCATAGGAGTAGTAATTCCTTGGGCCAGGTCATTATGAAAACAGCATCTCAAGCCTTTAGATACTGAATTACTTCTGAATTACTTACTATTTCATGCTGTATCACCAGGGAGCTTGTATACATGATGGGACCTGGAAGTCAGCTATTTATGGCGTTTCAGATCAAGAGAATCTGAAGAAGCTTCGAAAACAGATAGGATATACCCCAGTTCCAGTCATTGGTGCAAAACTTAAAAGAAGGTATAAGAATCTTAAGACATCAAATATATCTGCTTTTCTAACAGTTCAGGATTTATATATATATATATAAAATACATACATTATATATACATATATATGTATATATAGTGAGACATATTACTAATGCTAAAAAGATGCATTTAACACTTCAACAAAACATGCACACATATTTAGTTTTGTAATAGAATTCAAGATATGTTTGTGTTTACTGATTTGTTTATATTTTACCGAAAATAACACGTATTACTATTTACTGTCTCTGAAAGCTGCTTGTTTTAAAAGCCTTCTAGAGAGATGGCAGTTTTGAGTTTGAATTGACTAGCGGAATGGGAAAAAACCCACGTGAGGAAAATGTTGCTTTGATTATCAGATTAATCCTGGATGTAGCATCTGGACTTGGAGTTGAGTCAGGAATAAATTGGAATCACTGTTGCTCAGTGAGAATAGATAATGTCTTTAAAATGCTTGAGTTAAAGCCAGAATTGATAGTGTCATTATGAACAGCTTGTTCTGTTGCATGAACATTTAAACGTTGTTGGTTTTTTATTTATTTATATATATTCTGTTTGCAGAGGCCTTGTGTTTTACAGTCAGGAATTCAAAGAGTACTCCATTCCATTCATGGGATCTGATGTTTCTGTTGTGAAGCGTTCTCAGCGCTATTTGCACACACAGCTGCAGGAAACACCAGTAAGTTGTTGTTGTTGTTAGTATATTGTATCTTCATTATCATTTTCAGTGCATCCTTCCTTTATGTAGTAATAATTCCTTGTGCAGGATCTGTTTAGCAGTGTTACGTAGTTAGACAAAACATAATGAGGTGCATCTGCTTCTGTTACAAAGGAGTCTTTTTCTGTTGATCGCCCTTGTAAGTTGCTTTCCCTGATGTGGTCCAAGTTCTTTTGGATGCTCTAGTTTGTTTGATTGTGCCTGATTTGCTGCTACTTGGTGAGTTTGCTTTCTGCTGGTGGTTCCATGATGGTTCCTAAGTCTCCTCTTCTTGCACAGTTCTCATACAGTTCAATCTCTGGGTAGGCAGAGATGGAGGAGATGTAGGAGATGGAAGCCTAGGTCTAGAAATGTGTGAAAAGCTTCATGATTTTAGGGAATGAGAGTGTGGCACGGAGCCACAAAATTTGAAGGCTTAGAGCATGCTTCTGCCATAACCTGTGTCTGGGGTGGCCTTCAAAGTCAGTCATGACATTTATCATCTCTGGACTAACTGGCTTTAGCAGATCATAGAATCATAGAATGCTTAGGGTTGGAAGGGACCTCTAGAGGTCATCTAGTCCAACCCCCCTGCACACGCAGGGTCACCTAGAGCACGTGGCACAGGACTGCATCCAAGCAGGTTTTGAAGATCTCCAGAGAAGGAGACTCCACAACCTCTCTGGGCAGCCTGTTCCAGTGCTCTGTCACCCTCACTGTCAAGAAATTTTTCCTTAAGTTCCTGTGGAACTTTTGGTGCTTCAGTTTGTGGCCATTACCTCTAGCTCTGCCGGTGGCCATCACTGAAAAGAGGCCAGCACCATCCTCCGCACTCCCTCCCTTGAGGTACTTATATACACTGATTAGATCCCCTCTCAGCCTTCTCTTCTCCAGGCTGAACAGGCCCAGCTCCCTCAGCCTCTCCTCATAGGGCAGATGTTCCAGGCCCCTGATCATCCTTGTAGCCCTGCGCTGGACTCTCTCCAGCAGCTCCACATTCCTCTTGTACTGTGGAGCCCAGAACTGGACACAATACTCCAGATGTGGCCTCACCAGGGCTGAGTAGAGGGGCAGGATCACCTCCCTCGACCTGCTGGAGACCTTCTTAATGCACCCCAGGATCCCATTGGCCTTCTTGGCCACGAGGGCACACTGCTGCCTCATGGTCAACTTGTCGTCCACCATGACACCCAGGTCTTTCTCCGCAGAGCTGCTCTCCAGAAGGTCGGTCCCCAGCCTGTACTGGTGTCTGGGGTTATTCCTCCCCAGGTGCAGGACCTTGCACTTGGCCTTGTTGAATTGCATGAGGTTTTTCACCGCCCAAAATACATGACATGCAGTCACACACCAGTGAGCTGTGTCAAATAAGGCACCTGTATCACGCTGTGTGACTATATGCTTTCTCCTGAACACAATTCAAAATGCAATTCGTGTATGACCCATGACGTATACTGTGAGGAGGTTATTTTAATGCTTGATGTGCCTTCTGCACAGAATCAGAATTCTATGCAGATAAGCATAGCAGAATTTTTGCACTCAAGCTTCTTGAAGAATATATTCAGGACTGAGTAGACCAAATGTGCTGAGTTGTCAGGTGTCTGCAGGGACCATTTGTACATTAAGCTTTCTTTAGCTCTGTGTTTTTTACCATGGACAGCTTAAATTATCATTTCGCCGATAAGCAGCTGAACGGGCATGTCACTTCTGCTGGCGATAGTCACAATAGGAAACAAAATTTGAAGCCTTTCTTTTCCTGTCCTAATGTTCAAAAACAGTGTGATTTCTGTATTCGGTCTGCTCAGAAGAACCTCTGAGGTACACATCAACCATTTTTATACCACTGAACCCTGGAAAGCTGCAAATAATTTCTGCAGTTCCTGTATATGCAGTAGCTTAAATGAGCTAATGAAAATAATTACGTCGGACATGTAGGTGGTTGCTCTGTGCCACAGGTAACTGCATGACTGAAGTAAAAGTGAATTACGTTTTGCACTATTATAAAGGGATATGCAATAAAAAAAATCATGCATGTATTCTACATTGTGTACACTTAAAAAAAATCTTAGTGAAGGAAAACATTTAATTCTGTAGCTGTACAGAGGCTTTTTGTGATGTCTGTGGAGCTTTTAAAGGCTTCGTAAGTGCAGTGTTTGTAACAAACAGAATGTCAGGCCAGTAGAGCAAAGTCAATAGTGTGGCTGTGCACTTGTATCTGGATTCTTTGATGCCTGGGTCTCTGGCATGTAGAGTACCAGCAACATGAAGAGAAGAAGGTCACTGCTAGTGGAAAACAGGTTTGCTTTTTTTTTTTCTGAGAGCAAACCAACACTAGGGGCGTCTAGCACAGCTGTGCAGAATCACTGGCACCAATAAGATATAGATGGCAAACAGTGCTCTAAAAATGTGTTTGAGGGTATTAGTAAGAAACATTTACCATACTTTGTTCTGTAATTGTATTCTCTTTACTCTGAATTATAAAGGTGAAACATTATACAGAGTTGTTTGGAATTAAGCCAAGTGCTTAAGATCTTCCTCAAATAGCTGTGTATTGCATGAAAAAAATGCATCCTAGTTTTGGAATTGATTTATTTTTAGAAGTGAATCAGCATAACAATTTTTAATGTGATCTGTAACTGAAAATATGGTTTTGCCATAGGTGCAGTACGCTGCTTATGTAAATGTAGGTGGTCTGGGCTCTGTTGTGAAGCTGATTTTTGCTGGCCTTTTATTTCTTCTTCTTGTGAAATTCAGTTTTGGAAGAAAACTTCTGGTAAAAGTAAGTGATAAAACACAAAAGACTTTATTGGTTTGAGAGAGATTTCTTTTTCCTGCAGTTTATCATTAATCTTTTTCTTTCCTATTATATAGTACCCGGAATTTTTCTCTGCTGGCCGTTTCACAAAGAAAGGACCAACACAGAAACAGGTAACTGTCTGTCATAGATCATAACTAATGAAGAAATTTGTTTAAGTTATGCTAATGGTGGAATAGTGACCTGGAGTCCACTACACAGTCCCCCCTCCCACCCCAGAAAAGTTTCTAAATACACATTGTGTATGCCACTTCACATAGCTTTGTATATTTAAATAATTATGTCATTAAACATCAAAGTATATGAAACTTATATAACAAAAATGGATCATATAGCTGGGCCTTTCTTATTTACTTGGATGGCTCAGAGTGCTCAGAGGTGATGGCAAAAGGAGACTGAGGTACAAAAAAACAACACTGAAACTACTGAGAAAATAAATGGACTTTGGAACAACAACAGTTACAGCAATATGAAAGTGAATAGTATATCCAAATAATTGAAATGAGATTGTACCTTTCTGACAGTAACTCAGACTTGTTCATCTCACTTTTAGACATGTTTTAGTACTCAGTACATAGCTAAGAAGTGAGTTTTGGTGACTGCACTTCTTGTCTTGTCCACTACAGATGGATGAAACTTCCTTTACAATGACCTTTTTTGGTGAGGGCTACAGTGAAGGGCAAGATCCCCAGAAGGGCAAACCAAATGTAAAGATCTGTACCCAAGTGAAAGGGCCAGGTAAGCATGTTAGCAGCAGCAGCTGCATCACATTCCCTCTTCTGATAGAGCTTTATGTATAGAATTTTATATTGCTACCAGGGCCATTCCTTTCTCTCTGCACTTGCAACATAGACAAAGTCAACAGCCTCTAGAGGGTATTGCCTTAGATATGAGCACGGACTTGTTTTAAAGTAGTTAACCAGTGTGTGTTCTTGTCATTCTCTTCCCTTCCGCCTCTCCTCACAAAAGTAATTTATTTTCTCAAAATTGAGCAGCAAAGGGAGAGTGTCTTAAGTGTAGTTTTCAGTTGTTAAAACCTGGGCTTCTTACCTGCTTTTTAATGTATTTTATTATTATTAGCTGGTTGTTTATTAGCTATATTTGATTTCACTTGTGTTCATGTCATTCTTTTGAGAGGAAAGGTCACCTGAAGTTTTGGAGACAAAGCAAGAATGGGTGTTCAGAAAGGAGTTTTTGAAGTGTAGCTACTCTAAATATCTGAAGTGTAGCTGAATGCAGCAGTCCTGCCTCAAGAGCTCAAGTACAGAATGGGCAAAACTCCTGTTGTAAAGGAGAGGCTTCTGACACTGTGAGGTGATCGTGGTCATAGGTCTGTATTTGAAATGGGCAGTTGTCCAGATCGGGTCTTAAGGACTTGCACAGCTAATGGAGATGTGTACCAGCTAGAAACTCTTTTCCCAGATGGGATTGGCTGTGTGATTACCAAAGAGATTCTTCAGCATGCAACATATAAGAGCAAGATTAGAATTATGAATTCTGCCTTTCAACACCATGTACAAATCTCTTCTTTTGTCAGAGGCGGGCTATATTGCTACACCAATTGCAATGGTTCAAGCAGGTGTGGCTCTGCTGGAAGAAGCAGCTTGTCTGCCTGCACAGTAAGTATTTTCCTCCTCAGAACAGCAAGATCTAACTTTTTCGTGCACACATTTCTTTTCGAAAATATAGCTCTTAACTGTGGGGATTGTTACATTACGTGGAAGCACTAAACACAATTCTTGCTAAGCAAAAGGTGATACTTTTTACCACAACTTGTTTTAAAACTGTTTATTCCTTTATTGGCCTTTCAAAAGGATGAAGATGTTTTTTAGTTCCACCTTTGCAGCAGCTGTTGCATTAGTATGTCTTCTCAGACAGTGGCAAGATTTCTGTCAAGTTTGCTGGAGGCAAAAATGAACCTATGACTATAACCATATGCTTTTTCTTGGGGGGCTGGGTGGGGAAGAAGGGGCTCTTTCTTTTCTAGGCAGGAAAAAAAGATCTTTTTTTTTCCCTTTTTTTTTTTTTTTTTTTAAAAAAAAAGTAAAACACACACACACACACACAAAAACCATCAATCTCTCTGTCTTTTGACTTTCATTAACAGAGGTGGTGTATACTCTCCAGGAGCTGCCTTCTCTAAAACAAAACTGATCGATCGCCTCAACAAACGTGGTTTGGAGTTTTCAGTTATTACCAAGCCTGAAGTCTGAAGTCAAACGCTAAACTGCATAAATTAACATCTGGGTCTAATTCCAAGAAAGCTTATTTGGATGTTAATGCTTAATCATAAAATAATGAGTTTAACTGTGGTGTTTTCTACGGCAGAAACGGAAGGAAAAAAGGGTTAAAATTAATAATAGTAGTTACTATAGTGAATAAATCCTTTATGGGTACTGAGTTTTAATTCATGAACATACTAAGAAGTCAGTGATTGATCAAGTATTAGTTCTGCCGTTTTGTTTAATCTCTTTCAGCTTAAGTTGCAGAAGAGCACCATAAGTTTAAATTACTACCACTACAGAATCTACTTGATACTTAACCCACAGCCTTCTTCCTCCTCCTCTTCCCCCCACAAATACTTAAAGCAGGAAGCCCTGGATAACAAGTGCCTTAGCAGTTACTCTTCATGCCTGCTCGGGATAGGCACTGTTACTTACTGTGGTGATCTTAATTTTAAAGCTTTGGCATCCACAGAAACTAAAACTAAGCTTTTGTTTCACTAAGAGATTAAGATTTCCTGGGTTATTTTAAAGATCAGCTAACTATACTACTGTGTAATGGTTTGTTGACTTTCAGCCTTGCTAGCTTTCCTAAAATGAGCTGTACTCAAAAAGGAGAGAAAAGAGAGAAGGTAGGGCTTGTCAGTATGACCTTGTTGCTGTAATGCAGATCAGCAGAAGACCCAGTGCAGTTTCATCTTGTCAAGGGAACAAATCATTCTAGTAGCATACACTCAGTGTAAGGTAATCACAGTTGCAGTATAGCTATTTCCAGCAGCAGACTTGTCAAAGTAGTAACTGTAGGAAGTGAACCTGTTTGGTGTTCTGAGCTGTGCTGAAACAAGCTCCGCATTTGTTTGTAAATATTAAATTACTCTTGTAAGTCTATACCTGGCCCTTTGTAATGTGGTTGAGCAATAACTTGCCTAGCAAAAGTGTGGTGGTTTTTTTTTTCTCCCATGTATAATACATATACATATCATCACACACACACATTGCATTATGCAAGACAGTTCTGATAACTTGCCCTTGCAACTTGCTAACATCAGCATTGTTACAGAGTAGGCAGTTCAGAAATACTACAAATTCATTTTTAATCTTAGCCCAAATGAGGTGTAAGTAGTGATTTGTAGAGGACTGATGAATGGTAAACAAACATGCTGAGGGAGTGGGTAAACCATTTGATTTAGCTATGATGTACATACTGTGTTCATTCCAGAATTTAATGACAAAACTTACTTGTACTCAGTGGCTCCTCGAGCTTTGCTATATGCTGTGTATTCCCGCTTCTTCTTAACTATAACAGCAACATCACTTTTAAGCTTGCAGATGGTAGACTCAAAATGTTTCCCAAAATCATTTATCAGCTGTGACTGTCTGTCCGTAAAGAGACGTAGTTCCTGCAGATCATCTTCCTGCTAAAACATAATAAAGGAAATGAGTTGGGACCAAGATGCCATTTTTGTGTTTTACACCAAAGACTACTTGCTTGTCTTGCAGGTTAGCCAAGGTGATAATTGAGTAAAAGGCAAGGCAACTGCCAGAACAAGCCATAAGCTCGTGAACTAAAATTAGGATATCGTAGTAGCATGTCCTCTTGCTGAGGAGGCTCAGCAGCACGTCGCAGCCAGCATGATGTGCTTGGAAATGGGATTGATTTGGAGGGCCAATTTGCCCTCACCCAATCTCTTGCACCACTTCTTCTCCTGAAGGAACATCTGTAGGAATTAAGCAAGATAAAAGATGGAGGAGGCTGAAGAGCCACAGGTTGGCAACAGTGTGTTGGCTCCATAACTGACTGCAAAGGCCCTGGGGCAGCTTATTTTTGCTTTATGCTCAGCACAGCCCTTGTGCCTGACAGCAGCCATTGCCCTTGAAGTGATCACCAGCCTCTCTGCACCTGCTTATCCGGAAAATGAGTTCCACAGTCTACATCAGCACACCATTAATACTGTAGGCTCTGATTAGACCAGAGTAAGCAAAATCTCTAAAGGTGATCCAACTTACCTGGAAACAGGAAAAGTAATACAGGGATTTGATTCCTCAATGCAATCAGGCTTGAAAGCGTGGTTGCACTAAAATTCAGCTGTCTGTCCATGACTCTCATCATAGCTACCCCTAGAGAAACAAAGCCCCTAAGGCCTCATTTATGGTTGTAGGTCTCAACTGGATATTTTAAATGATGGCTGAGGTTTGGAATGTCCTTGTATCTATATGTCCTGGCATGCCAAGCAAATTGAGGTTTACATCTTTGCTATCCAGTTTTGCCATAAGATGTATTTTATTTCATTTCTTGTTACCCACAGAAAAGCTTACAATAATGGAAACTAATTTAACCAAACAGGTATTAAAGGAAGCAAAACTAGCACAGAGGACCTGCTTATGTATGGGAAGAAAACTGCCCATTTCAGTGTTGCTGGCAAGAAATGGAGGGTTTGGGCTGCTGAGCAGTAACTGGAATAGTTTTGAAAAAGATCATACCATGCAAGCCTAGAAATGTCAGGAAGTCCCCTACTTGGAAGCTTCAGAAAAATAAATGCTCCCTTTTCAAGCATTCAAACAGACTTTACTGACTGTGGAGCTAGTCACAGTCTGAAAGTTGTTTTGTGTCATGCTGCTGAAGAAGCCAAATTTGGGGTTTGTTTTGTGTTTTCTTTTTTTCCTTCCTAAAGCTTCATCTTCTACTTACAGAAGATTTGTCAGAGCATGAAATATCAAATACAAAAAAAAAAGACCCATTCTGTAAAGCAAACATATGAAAGTGGAGGCAAGTCAGCTTCCTAGAAGCACTAAATAGCTACTCAGCTAAATACCCTGCCTTACATGAGGACTGGTAAAGGATTCCTTTCCCATAGGTAGCCACTCTGTAAAGAAGCTTGCATTTTTGAACAGAGAATGCTCAGTATCTTTCATGTTATAGCTAGTATAGCAGACTATATAGTCTGTAGGTCTTGACAGTGCCTCTAGTGCTGCACAAAATGCTTGGAAAGAAGGAGTCTCACGCCAGGGCTGAAACTGTAGCAAGAAACAAGACCAATGATTGATACCTCCATTTTTCAGATTGCTAAGGCTAGCACAAAACTCCTCAGAATTGTGTGTTTAAAGCAATGTGGAAGTTCACTTACCGGTGGTGTGAAGTGCTTCAGTTCAAGGAATTGCTGTCTTACTACGTTCATGTTTTGATAGAAGATCTTAAGGGCTTTAGCAAATTCTGCATCCCAGCTGGTCCGAGGACTGCACCTCCCTTCAGACTCTCTAAACGACAGTGCCTGTTCAACCACTTTAATTGCCTTGGTAGGTGACTCCGATTCTGTCTCTAAAATGCAAGAGATCATTATTAATAACATAAAGTTTAAACTGATAGGACAGAATAGAGGCGAGCTCTCTTCACAGCTTGTATCCTGAGCCAGTCAGTACTGGTAAATGAAACATAACTATAGCAAAACATGGAAATAGTGAGACACATAGTGGCAGGCACTGACTTTCACAGTGGCTTGTGTCCCACTTGAGCTTGTCCTTCAGAAGCAAATTTTCTTCTCTTAAAGCTCTGTTGATTTCTCTCAGGTGCTCAGTCTCTTCTTCCATGCACAGCACCTTCCGGTACAATTCAGACATGGGGCTGATTGGGTCCTGTTTCAAAAAATTCCAGTTCAGATTATTGTCCATAAATCCTTACTGTTTCCTGTGTATCAAGAACATGTTTCTCATCCATCAAGCTATACAGCTGATAGTGGATTCCACATTGTTGGAATTTTGAAAACACTTTTCTAAGGCTTCAGAAGGATTCTTTCCTTCCTGCCTGCCTGCCTCCCATTTCATTAGTCCTTTAACACACAAACATGGGTTTCTTATTGACTTAGCTACCAGTGTTTGCTGGCCTGGTGCCCCAATACTACCTTAGTAAAAGTGGCAAAAAAAAAAAAAAAAAAAAAAAAACAATTAACTCTCTGTGTATGTATGTGTGTGAATGGGCTTGCACAGAACAGTTAAAGTTACTATTTAATTGCTTTAATCTCACTCATAAACCTTTACTTTCTGTGTAATTAATTAAGGTAGCAAGGTGAAGAACTGGTTACAAAGCACGTGCCTCTTACGTGTTTCAAGTCATGGCTGCCTCATGTGGCAGCGCGGGGAGGCCACTCGTCCTGACAGCGCTGCATGAGGGAGCACGTGGGCCTGTGCTTAACCGGACATTTTCCTGCTACCTTGGCTCACAACATCCTCCCAGGTGTCTTTTCAGAATACCACACTGATAATGTAGGAAATGCACTTACCAGGCCAGCGTCATCTGCAGTCAAAACCTTGGGATTGTCGACCATGATGGCGCCCTCAGGTGTGAGCGGCAGCCCGTCGAGGGAGCAGCCCAGCTCCGTGCAGCCTTCTGCAGCCGGGCAAAGACACGGAGCCGTGAGGAACCGCCAGCGTGCGTTAAG